GGTCGATGTTTCTCTCTCATCGATGTTTCTAATTCTCTATCCCTCTCCCTTCCTCTCTGTAAAAAATCAATAAAATATATTTTTTAAAAAAATTGTAATTTTATGTTATATGTGTTTTACCACAATTAAAAAAATCATCTCAAAGAATATTTTCTTGACACAGTATGAAGTCTTAATCTTTTAATAACATGCTTCAATTTCAGGCATCGTTCTTAGTCTACTAGAAATGTTATTTTTTTAATATATTTTATTGATTTTTTTACAGAGAGGAAGGGAGAGGGATAGAGTTAGAAGCATCGATGAGAGAGAAACATAGATTAGCTGCCTCCTGCACACCCCCTACTGGAGATGTGCCCACAACCAAGGTACATGCCCTTGACCAGAATCGAATCCGGGACCCTTCTGTCCACAGGCCGATGCTCTATCCACTGAGCCAAACCGGTTAGGGCAGAAATGTTGTTATTTTACAGAGCAAAGACAGTGTCTTTTCAGCCCCCACACCTCCCACATAAAGGGTGCTCAACAAATATTTGTTGAATGAATGAGCTTGGATGCTTTTCCTTTTTAAAATAATTTCTACGTGTCACCCTTCTACAAACTGCATTACTGACATATTTTGCTACAGATGCTTTCAGTATTTGGCCATTTGAGGGAACTGAGTTAGCAAGATTTTACATAAATACTATGATAACAGAAGCAGGAACGTTTGTGTCTAGTTCAGAAATGCTGAGAGAAAACAAGCCTTTGTGCATACAAAGATGCTTGCATTCTTACTGGATGAAGCCCTGATAAATCTGGTCTTGATACTAAAGGCTGATGCTGATTTTTCCCAAAAATGACAAACTAGTAAAAACTCAACAACAATAATACATGTAACAAAAAATGTCAGACATATATAAAGTAAAATATAATATTTTTTACTCACATAGTACAGTCATTGGCTTTAACTTGAGAAATTCAGCTTTCCCCCAACTTCATAATAGATTTCTCTATTACAATACAGAGGAGTTAGACTCTAAATGCTTCCTAATTCTAAATCTTTGGGCCAGCTATTGTCCTCCTCCATTTGAAACTTTCCAGCAATAAAGACAAGAGTCACCTTAAATCTGATCTCTACTAGATTGAATGGATTCTACTTTTGGTGTTCACTCAAATGACAGTGCTCCCAAAGAGTCTCTCTCTCCATAGGGTAAGAAGCCACCAACATCAAAAAATCAAGTCTAATTCCTTATTTTATGAAAATGATAGTGCCCCCTGGAGGCAGAAATCCATGTTCCACAAATTCTGCACTTGAGAGAGAATAATCTGATGACAATGGAGTAATTTCACGTTTTAAAAAATCACCTTCAGCAAAATAGAGAATAAATAGTATTATGTAAACATTGTATCTTAGTTTATTCAACCTCTTGATTTAAAAAAGTGTAATTTTGCTGAAAGAAAACAAAAGTCCTCAAAAAAATTGCTATAAGCCATAGTTCTCTGCCATCCCAGCCTTGGGTTTCCATAGCTATAGTGCAGGACAAGAATTATTTATAGTTAAAAGACATGTCAGTTAGCTCAGCTTACTAAAGTTCAAAATGCATTTGGCTGCCCACTGCTAAAGCCTAGTTTAAAAAGCTGTTATCTGTTACCAAGGCCAACCATCCAAACAATTTGAACTTGGGTTCATTATAATCCTGTGACCGAATCAACCCCAAGAGCAGCAACCAGAAGCCACTTCCTGGCGCTCTCCCTGCTTCACAATTCTGACCTGATTTTGAAGGTTCAGTTCCCCTCTCAAGTCTCCTCCCATGCAAGCCTTTGTTCTTGTGACTTTTTTAGATCTCAAGATTATCCCCCTTCACTTATATGAATTACTCAAGAGTGGCCATAGATACAGGCCAAAAATCTACAGGAATTCAGAAAAGGAGGCCATTGGTAACATTAAGAAATGTTGAAACAGATTTGTGAAGCAAACAGAGTGTTGTGAAAGATAGGTGGAAATTCCCAGTATCACAAATGTGAGATATATCAAATTTACAGCCAAACATTATACATAGCTAATGCTAGACAACTGTGTCTAATTTCGATTTTAGAATTATCTCAGTACCAAAGTCAACGATGAATGATTATACTTGATTCATGGTCACGTCTACTCATCACTGTTTTCTATTCCTCTAACTGGTTTATGTACATTACATGCCAGATTTCTTGAATGTTTAGATGCTACTTTTATATCCCCACTGTACTTAGCAGGAAGACATGTACTTAGACTTCCATGTCTATATGTTCAATAAATTTCTGATAAATGTAAAATAAATGGCAGCAATTCCTTCTGTCTAATCACAACTGTAGAAACTGTGAAAGCTGGTTGTTATATAAGTGAACCAGCCCACATCTCTGGAGTGTTTGAATTTATGAGACTGTTAATTGATGATTCAGCTTCTAGCAGCCATAGTTACTTCTACAGGTATGTATACAATGAATTTTGGATTAATAATCTAGTTAATTATAAATAAAATAATGCATTCATGCACTCAACAAATATTTATTGAGTTCTCTTCCACTTGCCAGTAGGGAACAAAACAGACACAAATCCCTGAACTCTTTAAGTTTATATTAGAGTGAGGGGAACAAATGATACAAAATATAAATAAGTAAAATAGAGCATGATGATGCTAAGAAGAAAACCAGGACAGAGAATAGCAATATGAAGAACTGCAATTTATACTGGCAATGACAACACCTGAAAGAAGTGAGGGAGTGAACCATGCCAATATCTGGGAAAGACCATTCCAACCAGAGAGACCACCAAATGCAAAGGCTCGAGGAAGCCAAACTGGCAGGAACATGTGAAAGAAGGATGGAATAGCAGGAGACGACTTCAGAGATATGGGATGGAGGACAAAATCATAGAGGGCATTGTAGTTCATTATGGAAACTGAGGCTTTTACCTAGGTTGAAAAGCAATGGAGAATTATGACAGAGATGTGACATGATATGACACATTTTTAAAGGATCCTGCTAGCTAACATGTTGAAAATAGAACAAAGGCAAATGAGAGCGGAAGCTGAAAAACCAGTTAGAAGGCCATTGCAACAATCCAAGCCAGAGCTAATAGTGGCGGGCACCAGAGTACGTAGTAGCAATGGTGGTGGTAATGACTGGGAGAATTACAGGTTCATTTTGAAAGTAGAGTTAATAAGTCTAACCCTCATTTTTTTCAAACCCTCATGTCAAAGGTTGACTTTCAATAGATTGCACTGAAGGAATTGCCTGCTACGTACAAACCGCCACCCAAAAGAAGCAGGTTATCTACAAATGATTTAGCACCAACTTGCTGAGTGATTGAATGTGGGATGTAAAAAGTTTTGTCCTGAGCAATTGAAAGAATAGAGTTGTCACACTGAAACAGGAAGAACAGTGAGAGAAGCATGTTAGAGTAGAAAACTATCAGGAGTTCAGTTTGGGATACAAATTTGAAATGCCTCTTAGACATCCATGTGGATGTTTCAAGAAGGGATATACAAGTGTAAATCAGAGAAATACAGTCTGAAGATTGACCACTTAGATCAAGTTCTCTAGAAATGGAGCCTGTGATGGAGGTTCTTATTGCAAGTGAATTTTTAAGGAACTGCTTTTAGGAGGAACCTGTAGAAAAGAAGCTAGACCAAAGAGAGAGAGAGAAAGAGAGAGAGAGAAGTGGTTTGGGGATTAATCTAGATTCAGTTTGATACTATGGGAGATGTGGAATGTAGATTGCTAAAAACCTGAACCCCTAAATTCTGTCAAATCTTTACCAATAGAGACAACTCTTCCTCCCTTATCTGAGGAAGTTGGTCATCCCTTCCCTACAGAGCCTGTAACAGACTCATTGTAAGGCATTGCTGATCCTACTAATGACCCACCCACCTCCTCTCATTGCTTCTACACCTATAACCAGACTCAAGTCCCAGCAGACCCAAGAGGACACGACACAAACTGTGACCCGTGAGTAGGTCTGATACACAAAATCCTAGAGGAAGACTGCTGGATCAAAGGGTGCATACATTAGTAAATTTGATGGGTACTGCCAAATTGCCTTTCATAGAGACTGTATTATTGTATACTCCCATTAGAAATATTTCCCCAATAATCTGGCAAAGTGTTATCAAAGTTTAGAAGTTTTGCCAAATGGGCCTGACCGGCGTGGCTCAGTGGCTGAGTGTCGACCTATGCACCAGGAAGTCACAATTCGATTCCTGGTCAAGGCACACGCCCAGGTTGTGGGCTCCCCAGTGGATCCCCAGTGTGAGGTGTGCAGGAGGCAACCAATCAATGATTCTCATCATTGATGTTTCTCTCTCTCTCTCTCTCTCTCTCTCTCTCTCAACCAATCAATGATTCTCATCATTGATGTTTCTCTCTCTCTCTCTCTCTCTCTCTCTCTCTCTCTCTCTCTCTCTCTTCCTCTCTGAAATCAATAAAAATACATATTTTTAAAATAGCTTTGCCAAATGGATAGTTAAAAATGGCATCTCAGTATGGTTTTAATTTTCATTTTTCTTATTATAAATTAGGTTGATTGTCTTTCGCATGTTTAAGGACCATTTACATTTCCTTTGCTGTGAATTATATATTTGCATTATTTGCTCTTCCTCTTCTACTTTTGGGTGGTTGCTCTTTTTCCTATCATTTCTAAAAGCTCTTGATAGAGATTAAACTTTCATTATGAAGATATTTTCTCAGCTTATTACATCTTTTGTAAGTTTCTTATGAATTTTTATTATGCAGAATTCTTTTACTTTCATTGATTAATCTTTTCTGAGTTTAAAGATTTTCTACACCCCAAGGTTTTTGTTTGTTTTTTGTTTTTGTTTTATTTCAATACAAGGCTTTTATTGTACATTTTTATAGTTTCACAAACAACTGTGACAAATCATTTGGCATCTTGATGTTTCCATAGCTGGACAACTGAGATCTTTTTCATCAGCCTGCTGAACTATTCCTTTTTCAGAAACATAGATACCATCCAAAAATTTTCTGATATCCTGTTTTTAACTGTTGTGGCTTGCTGAATTTGATACAAGTTCAATGTCATTTCTTTCAAGAATCAACTCATCTTTCTGGGCTTGAGATACTGAACAAGCAATGCCTGACCTCATCCCAACTCTGCGGATGTATTTTTCGCCCAAGAAATTTCTAATTTCAACAAGAGAACCATTCTCCTTAATAATGACATTGATGGGGAAGTGAGCGTACACAGACCTCATCTTGTAATGGAAGCCCAGTGTAACACCCTTGATCATGTTCTGTACATGACTGCAGATAGTGTGAACTGTAGCCAGTTCCTTTCTATTTCCCCACCATTTGTCAACCCAGAGCCTCTTCTTTTTCTTTCCAAGGAGACTGAGCTCTACATTGATGTGGTTCAAGTCCCTCCACAGGGTGCCTCTGGGGCCCTTCACAATAACAGTGCATCTCTTCAGAGTGATGTCCACATTTTCTGGGCTGTCCACAGTCCGATTGCTGAGAATGGTCTTCATCCTCGCAGTAGATGCGGCAAAGAGCTACACCCCAAGGTTTTAAGAGAATCCTCATCCTCCCATTTTTTTCCAGTAATTGTACTTTTTCTTTTTTAACTTTAAAATACTGTATTTGATTTGGACTTTATACTGGTATAGAGTTTGAAGTATGGCAGCACCTTCATTTGTTTTTTCAGGTGGCCATCCTGTGATCTCAATACCAGTTATTAAAGGATTTATTTTTTCTGATTTGAAATATTTTTACCTATACTGAATTTACACCAAATTCCCATATTATAGGTATTCACTTTCTGGACTGTCTATTCTACTGGGGTATAGTCACACACACTTTTTAAATTTTGAGGTATGATAGAACTTGTCTACCTTCATCATTTTCTTTTTTTTTTTGGCTTCTTTCAATTTCCATAATAACCTTAGAATATGTTAGTTTTATTTTTATAAGTTAAGAGAGAGAGGAAAGTTGGCAATGAGTTAATAGTAAAGGTTGTTTTAAGCCACTGTTAGGATAATCTGTAATACAGCAACAGTAACTGTAATACATGCATACCAGGGGCTCTTTTGCATTTCAGAGTGAGACTTTTTTTCTGCAGAAAGTATATTTCACTGGAATTTTAGCTTTGTGCCCCTGACTCCTCTCCATACTACTTCTTTCATTTTCTCTTTGGATTCTACCTGATCTCATCTGTGATTGGCAGTGATTTCACATCATCTGAAATTTGTGGATTATCTATCTCTTACCTTCACTGAAAATGGAGTTTTTAGAGTCCTTTCCAACTTTCTTGTTGCTTTTGCATAATATCCATGGAAAGAGGGGGATTTATGCAGTTGTGCTTATTGCAAAAGTCATTGTTTTTTAATGTGTACTTCCATAATCAACAGGGGTGATAAGTGCCTTTTCACATTTTACTTGGTGATATCTAATCTATTATCTATTTTTCTCATATTACCACCAGTCTATTAGTTTGCTGTATTTTTCTTATTGACTTGAGGAAGCTCTTTGTATATTAAAGATACTAACTTTTATCTATTAATAAAGTTTGTAAATATTTTCTGAGTCTGTTACTTGTACTTTAAAATTGAAGAGGACTTCAGTGATTCCTACATTTATAGTATCTTTTAATTATAAAAATCAGTTTAAGCTTTTTGTAGTCAAATTAGCCAATTATTTCCATTATGAGCTGATATTTCAAGTCATACTTAAGAAGGCCTAAGAAAACAGGGCTTCTCTGGTTTGTAGGAGCTGAAGAGTATGTACATACTTTACAATTACATACTAAAAGATGGGGTAAAAGCAGTCAACATTCCTGTAAAACTTAAAGGCAGTATATCCTATATAATAACTAGAGGCCCGGTGCACAAAAATTTGTGCACTCGGGGGAAGGGGGGGTCCCTCAGACCGGCCTGTGCCCTCTCGCAGTCTGGGACCCCTCGGGAGATAACAACCTGCTAGCTTAGGCCTGCTCCTGGGTGGCAGAGGGCAGGCCCAATCCCTAGGTGCAGCCCCTGGTCAGGCTCAGAGCAGGGCCGATTGGGGAGTTGGGGCGCCTTCCTCTGTCATGCACAGAGCAGGGCAGATTGGGAGGTTGTGATGCCACCCTCAGTCACGCTCAGGGAAGGGCTGATTGGGGGGGTTGGGGCACTGCCCCGTCACACTCAAGGCAGGGTCGATGGGGAGGTTGCGGCACCACCCCGTCACGCACAGAGCAGGGCCCATCAGGGGGGTTGGGGGCTCCATACCCTGTCATGCACAGAACAGGGTCAATTAGGGGGTTGGGGAGCTCCCCCCTGTCATGTACAGAGCAGGGCCGATCAGGGGGTTGAGGAGCTCCCCCCGTCACTCACAGAGTAGGTCCGATAGGGGAGTTGGGGCACCGCCCCATCACACTCAGGGCAGGGCAGATCAGGGGGTTGGGGCGCCGCCCTCTATCACCCACAGAGCAGGGCCGATCAGGTGGTTGGGGTGCCGCCACTCTCATACTCAGGGCAGGGCCAATGGGGAGGTTATGGCTCTACCGCGTCACACACAGAGCAGGGCCCGTGGGGGGAGGGGGGGGCGTTGGGGCGCCGCCCTCTAACACCCACAGAGCAGGGCCGATCAGGTGGTTGGGGTGCCGCCACTCTCATACTCAGGGCAGGGCCAATGGGGAGGTTATGGCTCTACCGCGTCACACACAGAGCAGGGCCCGTGGGGGGCGGGGGGGTTGGGGCCCCACCCCCTGTCACACACAGAGCTGCAGGGCGATCAGGGGGTTTGGGCGCTGGCCCCTGTCATGCTGATCCCAGTGCCAGGAGGCCTCGCGGCTCCGCTGATCCCGGTGCTGGGAGGCATATTACCCTTTTACTATATAGAATAGAGGCCTGGTGCATGGGTGGGGCTGGCTGGTTTGCGCTGAAGGGTTTCCTGGATCAGGGTGGGGGTCCCCACTGGGGTGCCTGACCAGTCTGGGTGAGGGGATGATGGCTGTTTGCAGCTGGTCACACACCCTTCAGGGTGGGGGTCCCCACTGGGGTGCCTGGACAGTCTGGCTGAGGGGCTGAGGGCTGTTTTCAGGCTGGGGCTGAAGCTCCCAACTGCTCCTTTTTTTCTTTTTTTTCTTATTTTTTTTTTATTCTGGGCCAGCTTTAGTTCTGAGGCCTCGGCTGCTGAAATCAGGTTTCTGGCCTTTGTTTACCATCTGTATTTGATACAATGTTGTGGTCCAGCTGGCTGAAGCTCCGCTGAGTAAAGCAGGTTTCTGGGGTTTTTTTAGCTTCTTTATTCGCAACATAGTTGCTTAGAGTTGCAGCTGAGAGGCCGGCAAGTCAGGCGGGGAACGTTGGAGTCCTCCGTCACTGAAGCAAGCAAGCCTCCCTGTTCGCATCAGCTGCCTGGCTGCCGGCCGCCATCTTGGCTGCCAGTTAATTTGCATATCTCGGCCCTACTCTGTGAGTGACAGGGGGATTAGCCAATGGGAAGGGTAGCGGTCGTACGCCAATTACCATGTTTCTCTTTTATTAGTGTAGATGTGTACAAGCTCCAAGGGGACATGTGGGGAAGTCATTCAGAGTATGGCAGAAGTTCTGTTCTCCTAGGCCAGTGGTCGGCAAACCACAGCTTGCAAGCCACATGCGGCTCTTTGGCCCCTTGAGTGTGGCTCTTCCACAAAATACGTGCGGGCACGCACGTACAGTGCGGTTGAAACTTCATGGCCCATGTGCGGAAGTCAGTTTTTGGCCTGGGCAAGTCTATTTTGAAGAAGTGGCCTTAGAAGAAGTGGGGGGTGCTGGTCGGTCAGGCGACAGGAGACACTACGCAGGGACGCGCTACGCAGCGCGGGTGAGGTGCGCGCGATTCATGCACGAGTTGAGTGAGCCAGTCAGTCAGCAGTCTCATTGTGCAGTGGTTAGTGCTAGTCGCATCTGCAAACCGCGCGCGGGTGACAAAAGTACCTACTCAAAGCATAAAGTTACCTGTATTTTTCCAACCCGCTGCAAATCCTACAGGTATTTTTGTCATCAATTTAAGAATTGTAATTATTTTGTGTTGGTGGCTTTATTATTATAAAATGAAACATTTTTTTAGGTGCCCTGTTTGACATGGCTACAAAGAAGAAGCAAAGAAAAACGGAAGACGAAAACCGTGAATTTCAAGTTGAATGGACCGAGACTTTCGCGTTTATTCAAAACTTAAATGGCCTTCCGACCTGTCTTATTTGTCAGGAAAAATTGGCGCATAACAAGAAATCAAATTTGGAGATTTGATTTACAACTAAACACGTCATTTAGTACTAAATATCCTGTCGGTGATGCAAGGAAGAAAGCAGTTGAGGAACTTCAGAAGAGTCAAGGAAAATCAAGTTCTGTATTTAATTACTGGATGCAATCTTCCAACAATGTTAACATTGCAAGTTTTGTGGTTAGTCAAGAGATTGCTAAGAGAGGAAAACCATATACAGACGGGGAATACATAAAAAGTTGTTTTATAAATGCATCCGTAGAGCTATTTTGGGATTTTAAGAACAAAGCAGATATTCTAAAAAAAATTAAAGATTTACCATTGTCTGCTAAAACAGTGAAAGATAGAACAGTCAAAATGTCTTCTAATATAACCAACCAGCAAGTCGAAGATCTTAAATTGGTTTCAGCTTTATCAATAGCAGTTGACGAGTCTTGTGACATAAATGATACAGCGCAAGTTCCACTTTTTGTACGATTTATTTCATCTGCAGGTCCTAAAGAAGAACTTTTAGGGTTATTGCCACTCAAAGGTCAAACACGTGGAGAGGATATAGCAAATGCTGTAATTGAGTGCATTGAAACATCATATTCCACTCGATAAAATTGTCTCGTTTTCAACAGATGGGTCGAAAAGTATGACCGGCGTAACAAACGGGTTTGTTGCTATTTTGAAAGAAAAAATTAATCATGAGATACTTACTTACCATTGCATCATTCATCAAGAAGCGCTTTGTGTGCAGACATTTCCAGAAGAAAGTTGCAAAGTTATGGAATTGGTGATTAAGATGATCAACTCCATTATAGCTAAAGCTCTTAATCATCACCAATTTAAAGAATTTTTAGTTGAAATGGAGAGTGAGTACGCAGATCTTCTGCTGCACAAAAAGGTATGTTGGTTATCAAGAGGAAACGTTTTGAAACGTTTTGCTTCCTTATTAACAGAAATTAAAGCATTTCTCCTTGAGAAGGGTGTTCACTATCCAGAACTAACAAACGATGAGTGGATCCAAAAATTTTATTTCATGGTAGACATTACATCTCATCTAAATCAGCTTAATCGTGCCCTGACTGGTTTGGCTCAGTGGATGCTGTCAGCCTGCGGACTGGGGGTCCAAGGTTCGATTCCGGTCGGGGGCATGTGCCTTGGTTGTGGGCACATCCCCAGTGGGGGGTGTGCAGGAGGCAGCTGGTCGATGTTTCTCTCTCGTCGATGTTTCTGGCTCTCTGTCCCTCTCCCTTCCTCTCTGTGGTAGGTCAATAAAATATATATTATTTTTTTAAAATCAGCTTAATTGTAAATT